CAAATGCCCCAAAATGCTTCGGAGGCCTAATAATGACAAGAAGCCCATACACTAAAACATCATATGCACCTTAGTTATCCTATACCTTACTTCATCCCATACACCTTAGTTCCCATATACCATACCTCAGCCCAACCCACTTAAGTCATACACCTAAAGCTTAAACCCTAGTCTTGACCCACAAGGACCAAGACTTCTCTCTTTCTCAAGTGCATGCAACCAGACCAAGGGAAGTGCACCTAAGCTCAAGCCCATTCTAGGTCCACTCTCTTTCCTCTCTCTTCTTTCTTTCTCTCTCTTGTTCATCTCTCGCTTCGTTCTATTTCTCTCTTCTCTCTTTCTTTCTCTCTTTCTCTCTCTTCTTCCTTTCTTTCTTTCTCTTCTATCTTTTTTCCTCTCCCTTTTCTCTCTTTCTCTCTCTCTCTTCCAAACTCCTGAGCCTGCACCTAGGGCGGGCCCCAACTTCCTTCTCTCTCTCTTTCATTACTCTATCTCGACCAAAGTCTCAGACCCACACCATAGGCGGGTCTGCGCCTCTCTCTCTTCTTCTCTCTTTCCTTACTCTCTCCCCCCCTCTCTTGACCAGTGTCTCAAACCCTTACCATAGACGGGTCCGCCTCTCTCTCTTCTTCTCTCTTGCTCTCTCTCCCCTGCACCCAAAGTCCAAGACTCGCACCTAAGGTGGATATGTCATCTCTTTCTCCTCATATCTCCCCTCTTTGCTCTCTCACCTTCCCTAGAGTTCAGATCTGCACCATAGGTGGGTCCACCTCCCCTACTCTATATTCTCATCCTCTCTTATCCCAAGCTCTCCCCTGAAGCCTGGACCTGCACTATAAGCAGGTATGTCCCTCTCTCTTGGTTCCTACATCTTTTCTCACCCTCTCTCGGACCCATACTTAAGGCAGGTCCATCCCAGACCGTGAAGGGGAAGGGCCCCTTTTTACTTGACACTATTGTGTAATTTCATTAAATACTTGCATGCGAGATAGATATGCCTTAACAATCTCACGTACTCTTTCAATAGTCATGTATTACTTTCAACTGTCCTTGCACTATAATGTTCAAAATGTGTACACAACATCTCATGTAAAAGTGATTCCCTCAAAGTAAAATCTTTTCAAATAAATTCTCTTTTAGTTTTTTCACAACTATATCATTAGTAGTGCAATTATCCATAGTAATAGCAAACAATTTATCCTTCAAATTCCATTAAAAAATGCATCTTTCAATCGCATCAAAGATAACTAAATTTGAGTGTGGATATGGTACCAACTTGAAATTTACGATCTTTTTTTTAAAAATCCAATCACTATCTATATGGTGCGCCGTGAGATACATGTATCCAAGAGATTGATTGGATGTCCAAAGGTCAGTGGTAAAACTCACTCGACCATTCAATCTCTCTAAAACATCAAAAATCACTTTTTTCCCTCTTGATATATAGCCATGCAATCATTTTTTATTGTAGTACGTCCTACCATATTATTAAACTTGGGCTGAAGGTTCTTCACAAATTCTCTAAAAGCAGGGTGCTCAACCATACAAAATGGATACCCTTGAGTAATGATCATCTTTGCAAGCGCTTTACGACTAATTTCTTGGTCAAACTTGAATGTTTCAAGGTCCCTAACTAATGACTGTTGCAAATCCTCCTGATGTGGATGACTACAACAAACTTTAATATGACAAAGAAGGTAGGTTGTTCCATCACTATTTTTTGCCACCATTACGATGCTTACAAATGGCATTTCTAGTTCTATCTTCTTTAATTTGTAAACTAAAATCATCCCAGGATTTTAACTTCCTTCAAGAAGTTGGACCTATTGGAGCCACTTGGCTTTCTAGAGTGTTCTCATTCTCACTAACTTCAGATATCTTTGTTAATAATTAACCTGCAAACCGACATAATGATGTTAACTATTAAAATATATATTTAAGATCAAATTGTGCAACCAAAAGAAACAAGTAATCTAATTCATGAGTTTTGGAAGCATTTACACCAGTGCATGTGTGTGTGACCACAGCAATAGGAAACAATGAACTAAGCATTTTCATAGTTATTTGTTACTTCTTTGGTACTTAGAAAGAACTCAAAATATCAAACAAATTGATCAGCCAACAATACTCTAAATTTCTAACCATGCTTTGGAAGTTGAAAAGAAACGAGTCTAGTCAATCCCATTTCTTTAATACCATGATGGATAACAATATCAAAAACCTTAATAAGAACATGAAAAGGCAGTAACAGTTAGTCTGAGAAAAGGAAAAAGACACGATAAACACCTCGAAACATCTACACCATGAAATAAAGTAAATAAATCACAAATTTTGAAAAAAAAATACATTACTTGGTCTCTTCTTATAGTGCAATTATTCACAGTTCAAATAATTTGGTATCACAACATGCTCATGCTACGCCACTGCATTTCGTAGTATATTATAAAATATGACTTTGAAAGGGAAATCGGTAACTGTAACACTCATCTCAGCCGTGATATAACTTAATATCTCAAACCACACAGTCTAATTCCTTTCATGTGGAAAGAAATCTAGTTGGCAATTTAAGCATTATTAAGATTAACAGAATGCATGGGGTGAAAGCTGACAGCAATACCCACTTAACGGCAAAAGAATCAGCAATGACAAAGGGGAAAAAAATGAAATCAACCCAAATCATTTTGGAAAACAATCATTTTAAGTTCGTCCTTCATAATTGTCCCATATATGATTCTAACTAACTTTCTACGAATAGAAGTTTTAGATCCATGTTATAACAGCTTCTAACCAGGAAATATATGCCATTACCATTCTTTGTGACCTAGTCATGAACAAGGCCACTTCGAAACAATGAAACTAACATGAAGATCTCAACAAACCCCATAACTCCAAGCCCCAAAATGCAAGTTTCAGTACACAGGCCGTGATCAGCAGTCAAATGTGGCATTTTCATAAAAGTGTTGATAAAATAACCAAGATATAGAGCAACCACGCAGAAAGCACAAATGCAAATCTCATTACACAGGCCATGATCAGCAGTCAATGTGGCATTTTAAGAAAATTATTGATAAAATAACCGAGATATAGAGCCCACAAATGGAAATCTCATTACAAAGGCCATGATCAGCAGTAAATGCGACATTTTTCAGAAAATTGTTGATAAAATAACCAAGATATAGAGCAATCACGCATAAAGCACAACAATTTTGAAAAGAAAAATGATCCGACCTTCCCCCACCCACACCCATGTGTGTTGGACCCCAAAAGATCACTATTAAATTTGACACAGTTCTCTATAAAAATTATCACTTGGACGTGAGATTTGACTTTTTTAAAGATCTGTGCCAAATTTAAAAGTGATCCTTTATAATCCTACACATATAAATGTGAAAAGTCTCATAAGATCATTACTCTTTTGAAAAAATAAGAACTCTCGGATTAACTAAGTAGCAAGTCCATGTAAAACGACATGCGTGTTGTTATCATTTAGAGGAATTCAACACACCAACACACTAGACACCGTGTTAAGACGCATACAGTGATACTTAGAGGAATTCAACACACCAGCACACTAGACACCGTGTCAAGACACATACAATGATATAATCCTATTGAAAGAAAAATCTTAGAGAAAGAAAACAAAACTGAAAGAGATAATTATAGACATAATTACATCTTTTAGGATATCATAAAAATTTTAGGATATCACAAAAGACAATTTTATATTCAAAGGCATAAATAACTCTTTAGGATATCATAAAGATTTACGACGTCCAAATTATATCTTTTGACATGGTTTGAAGAGCAGCTATACTATTTTGTATTGCCCAGATTATGCATGAGATCTATAAAGAACTAAAATAACATAATTTCAATCCAAATCCTAATTATTCATCTAATAGGACCCCGAATTATAATGGGACTTAGCAATGCTATTTTCTAACACCCTCGTCATTCTTAAATGGTTGAGAACACATTTCGACTAGCTTTTTAGAGAGAAAAAGTATCCAAGAAAAAAACCATGGATTAAAATGTTAACAGACATAATATAGATAAGAAACCCTAAAAATTGAAACCCAATTTCTGAAACAAAACAAAAAATTCGTACCTTTTTTTTTTGAAAGCTGATTTTACACACAGGTAGTCAATCCTTTTGCGGTCTATCTACTTCTGGAGAGAGAGAGGAATATGCGAGTGAGGCTAGAGAGAGGGGGCTTTTGAGAGAGCAGAGAGAGAGAGGCCTTTGTAGCCACATGCGAGATAGAGAGAGAGAACGAGGCAAGAGAGAGGAGGGGGGAGGGGGTTAGAGAGAGAGAGAGAGAGTTTGCAAGAGGGAGAGAACTCTTTGGGTTGGAATTTAGATAGGGGAAAAATTTATATAGAGCCGAGGCTCTAAACAATCTAATTAGAGCCTACCTAAATTTTTTCTTTTAGAAAAAGTTGTTTTGATGCTCAAATATCCTCAAATTGATCATCTCAGCATCAAGATGCATGAACATGATAAAAATACGAATTTCAAATTTTGGAAATAATATATTTTATCATACATTTTTTGGACCGTCAATTTTCAAGATTTTGAAAAATTCATAGATTTATCTTTAAAATTTATAAATAAAGATAGAAAATATATTTTAAGGCTATCACAATGATTTTCAGTATTGAAACTACATGACACTATTTGAAGGTAGCTCTAATTTGATTGTTTAGAGCGTAGGCTCTATACAAACGGCACAAACCCAAGCCCATCCCGGAAGCCTGTCCATTGGCAGCCCGCCCCACCTAACATCCAAGGGCAACCATCTACCTAACAAAAAAATATGGGCCGGGCCTGGCTGGGCGGGATCTGGTCCAGCCTGGCCAAGCACCAGGATGAGATTTTCCAGCCCAGGCTCACCCTCAGGCCAAACTTAGAGGACTGGGTCAGGCTTCCTACACCCTTAACAGGGACATGGATTATTTTTTGGCCATGCTAACAAGCAAAGCAATCACAATTCCACCAGTGATACGCATCATCAAGCTTACAGAGCTCTTCATGTTTATAGAAGCCACTGAATCAAACATGGGTGATAAGACTATTTTATGTGCTCTGTCGGATCAGTAAACTTTCTCTTTCTAGTAGTGGAATTCGAATCGTCCAAGAGGCGACCTTGCGCAAGATCCAGTAACCTAGACTGCAGGTGCTTATTCATGGTCGTCAACTGCTTCGTCATGGCTGCTGCCCACAACCGCTGCTCCACCATTGTTTCCACTCTCATCTGGACTGCTTCTGGCGTGCGCCTTTGCTGTCAATTAACAAAGCAGAACTACTATTACCAACCTCAAAACCCAGAAGAAATAACAATCAGATCAACTAGTAATCACCATAATAAATGTTCCAAGCTCTTGATGTACGTCTGAGTTTGCATGTGAGAGAGAGCCAGAAAGAACCTCTAAATCAAGAATCTGTTCATTAAGTGAATCTGTGCTCCTAAACCGAGCAACCGAAACTTCTTTGTCTTCAAGTGTACAGTATGTCTGCAGGAGACTGATGCTTCCTTCAAAAGCATTCGAGGGGTGAGGCCCCTTATCCAACAAAGAAACTCGAAGCCGGGAGAGACTTCTATATCCCTCTTTCAAAGAGAGCAAGGAGAGCGGGATCACCACGATATTTGTTATTGGCCCTGCTAATACAAGCACAGTCAATAGTGATTTTTCTTACGAAAACAAACATACGTAGTGTTATATCCTTAAAACCCTTAGTTGCTTGAGAGAGAGACAGAGAGGGGGAAAGGAACATCATTAGGAAAGGAGAGAAGAAGCTTATAATGTACTAAGGTCACAAAGCCCATAGAAATAAGCTCCACACATTCAAAAGGTCATTGAGCTCTGATTGATAGGGCCTGCTCAATATCTGTACTCATAAGTGGGAAAATAGGTTTTCTTTTTTGGGTAGGCCGCCATCTATTTTTTAATTAGGGAAGAGAAAATGGACTCAAGTAACTAGATAGCTCAACAATGATTTTCTACTATTCATGAATGAGTCAATTTAAGAACAGAACCTATGAAGAATAACTAGCATGTTCAAGTCCAGGCTGGCCCTTTTCTACATTTATCCATCCATATTTCTATCTCTCGTAGTCGGGTCAGAATGCAGCAGTTTTCCACTAAAAGATTTTGAATGCTTAAGAGTTGTATCATCGTTGCACATGTTAGCTAACTGAAGCAAAATACATGAGGAGAATTCGGCCTTGAAAAAGTTTCTCCTAGTGTTGAGCTACCCCAAAATGCTTCGCATGCTCATGGAAGATGAAATTACAATCTTCCTCAGTATGCTCCTTATGCTCATTGACTACTAAATTATGAGTTTCATCTTTTTGGGTGGATAATTATGAGTTATGATTTTCGATTTCATCTACTGTTTGCATAAAAGGTTATGGGAGAAGTAATTGGCATGCATGGTTCTCTACGGCATAACCAGCATTTTAAAAACTGGCAATATCCAATCTGGATCACACGATCCAAAGGGGAGTCGATGGGGACTGAACCGATTCCAGGATGGCATTGGTCCCAGCCTGTTTCCTCCCTAGAAGACCCAGTTTCATACTTTTTTTTTTCGATATTTTTTTATTCTTATCTGATATTTTCTTAAATCCCCCCTAAATCCCCACCATATAAGCTCCTATTTTAATTTTAATTTTAATATTTTTTGGATCACCGATCTGTGGGATGAAAGATCAACCCCATTGATATGGGTTTCGAAACACTGGGTATAACCAAACAGTTTTAATCCAGGTGGGTGCTTTTGATCCATATTCCACAATCTTCTTATGGTAGTGCATTGACAACTACAGCACCATGTCACTGGTTAGAAAATATTCTACCTCAGTGCTAGAGTTGGATATGATATCCTGTATTCTCAAACTTAATGAAACCACAGACGTCCCAGAAAGACACTAAGGTTGATGTGAAATGTCCCGTATAAAAGCAACAATTTAAATCTTAAACAGGATATGCAGTAAGCTCCACGAAAGAGGAAAAAGCAGGCAACAAGAAAAGCTTATCCAGTTTCCTTCTCATTCAGTGAATTGCGCCGTAATGTAACATACTGACTCAAACTGGCATTGCAGATACAAGTTCCACGAGCAGCCGATAGTGTATCAAATCTTCCATTCGTGCTAAATCGTATGTGGAACATTAGACATGTCTCTGAATGGGTATATGTACTGCATATAGTGTGAACGGGTAATAGAGGATTTTGTATTAGCTTCAAGAGTCTTCTTTTGATAAAAATTTGACGGCTCAGACAATAAAAGTTTCAATTTAACGAGTGGCAAAGCTTGGTTACTGTTTTCATTGTCATTGATAACCCTAACGAGAGGCGCATAGTACATTTCCTTTTGGTTAGACTGTCACATGGACAAAATTTCCCTTACAACTAAAAAATTAAAAGTCATAGATTTACAAAGAATGATAAATAGGAAAAGTAAAAAAATGCAGGGAAGATATGGAAAATATAGGGTTAAATGCATGCCTGCATAGCCTTAGGGGTTAAAAGCCTTGAGAAAAGGAAGAAAAGCATTTCTCTTTCTGCTGTATTAGAAACTGGGGAAAATGTCTTCCGAGTCCATGGAATTCTGATGGATTCCTTTCTTTCTATTTTGCTGCTTGATTGTGCAATAGAGACAAGCCAAGTTTACTTGGGTGAGTCCGATGCACAGAAACAAGCACACAAATCTCAAAAGAGCATTGTCATCCAAAATAATTGTTGTAATATGATACTTTTTCAGTAAGAAACCCTTAGTTCCCTCATTTTAGGGGTTTGCAATGCGTGCAAATGTGTGAGCAAGTCTGAAAATAGCTAAGGCAAAGTTTTAGTTCCATCGATACAATGAAAAACTCATGAAGGATCCTAAGAAAGCTAAAACCTCTAGAAAATGACCAAATACCAAAAACACAGAAAAAAGAAAAGAACAAGAAAAAAAAAAAAGAGAAAAAAAAAAATCCAGTTTCCCTTGCTTCTAAGTTTCTATGCAGGTAAGATAAAAGAGGAGGCCCCATAACATCAAAATAAATTTTGCTTCTCATGTTAATTCCTCAACTCGTCACACTCATATAAACACCTCAATCCTAAACCGTTCCTTGTGTTTTTTGTAGAGAACATTTGTCCAAAATTCTAGTGAGAACCAATGGTCAAGAAGTTTTAAATGCTTTCAGTCTTGTATTCCTTTTCTATTGACAGTTCAGTCATAATGTTAGAAGACCTTTTATGCAGCAAAAATCATTTGGAATTCGAAGAAATACAATCTATATACCTTTCACCAGTCTTCTCTAATTTTGACTTGGTTGAGTCATGTTGAATATGGAGACCAACATTCTATTTTAGGAGGATCTATCAAACTATTAGGTGATCAATGAGTGAAAGGCATCATGGCCTTTGTATTAATACCTCAGAGAATCTCAAAGCCCCTCTCCAACATCTTCTGGTCACTATTCTGATTCATGACCAATGTGATGCCGTTTTCAGCGATAGATCCAATAAGAATTGGAAATCCCAGGAAACCTAAATGATTCACCAAACAACAAGCAACTAATAACCCTTTCAATTAAATCAAGGACCCATGATCGATACAAAGAAATGGTTTCCTGTGTTGGTCTAAAGAATAGACTTCAGCACACTTGGGCCCTTCTCATTCCGTACCCTTCTCTGAGTAGAATACTATCACAAACCCTATCTACAATAGACACAGCATTGAGTACGTTTGCAAACTTCACCTTCCTTTACTATTAAGTGACCATAAAAACGTAAGCCAGTCAAGCACAGTTACTTACGAAGGGCAAGAAACAAGGAAGACTAATAGGATGATTCTGTTAAATGTTAGAATAAACTCTCCATTTGATTTTCTCCACAATTACACTTTGGTTTGCTGCTGAAGTGGAGAACCATATGTGAGAATGTGAGAAGCATTTTGAGAAAACAAAAAGCTGAAAAATGTAAAAATTTCTTGTTGTCATATCTGCATTCAAATCTTAATCTACAAGTGTCTGAAAGAAAGTGAGAAGAGTTACCTTTCTTATAAATGAAATTACGTATGACTTTAGAACTAGCCACATCCCAAACACATGCTGTACAATCGTTTGATGCCGAGACCAAATACAATCCACTCATACTGATGGACAAAGCAGCGATTGATCCTCTGCAATAACCAACATGGTTAGAATCAGTTCCTTATGTATGTACACATAAATAAGCACCAAAATAGGAGGAAAAGGTCTAGCTATGATGCCAATGATCAGGAAAAAAAACATTAGCCAGTTATGATATAAAGCAATAATATCAAAATTTTCTGATTATGTACTCATTGAGATTATTCTTTAGCCACATTAGGCAGTTCCCCATCACCTATAATGGAATTCAGATGCTTGTTTTCTGATATTGTGCTTCATTCCTTCGCATGTTATGCATGTCCAACCTTAACTACTAGCAGCTTGTAAGCATGTAGAAAGCCACATAACTTCATTGCACATAAAAAACTGGGAAGCTTGGTACTTCAAAAGAGGACTTTTATATTAGATTAGTTGCATAACCCAAGAGTCTTACAGTGATAAAAATGACCCAAAGAATTCATCAGCAATAAAGACTTACATTAAATTACTTATCTCTAGGAAGAATAAATTGGAGAATATATGACTAATAAAAAAGCACAAGTTGAAACGCTCATTAATCATGTTTCCATAATCTTTTTCTTTTATTTTTGGGCAGTTTCCAAAATATTTATTTGCTTTCATATAATAAACAAAGCAATTAAATTGTATTTTTTTCTCTCAAAAATACGTGTTGCCAAACTTGGATTCTTCAAGTACTTGTGTCCTCTTAGCACTGTCATCTGATCCTCTGAAAAAACAGTAGGATTGTCCTCCAACCCAATATCAAGTTCACTGATGCATATCCTTCCATCCATGCATCCTGAATACAGCATCTGCTCGCCAGGATCAAGAGCGATGGCAGTTATTGGGGATGAAAATGTGAAATTCAGCAGCAGACTCCCAGACACAAGGTTCCGAACCTGTAAAATTCCTAAAGCTCATGAGCAGAATGCATTGATTCAAAAAACCTGTCTTGTTATAGTGTTGTTTTAGAAGGGCCTCTATGAGAAGAATGAACTGATTCAAATGACCTGTCTCGTTATTGTGTAGTTTTGTGGAAGAGTCTTCACTCTGGGAATATTGAAATAACAGTTCATGGGAAACATATATAATTCAGATCCAAGAATGCCTGATTGCTCCTACATGAAATCCGCGTATCATAAGTCCCAAACTAATGTTGAGTGATATTCAAAACTTAAAAATTTACAGCCATACCATATTTAAATATGGTAATTACGGACTGGTCCAAATTTATGAAACATTTACATGGAGGCCCATTTGTTCTTTTCCATTTTGCCCTCAGTTGGATGTTGGAAACAACGGACTGCTTTTTTATTTTATTATTTAAATTTTTTTGAAGTGTACGGACCAATCCAATGTTGGAAACATCGGAACACCCAATACCTCATAAGTTTTTTAAAATACATAGCCTTGGAGACATCAGACCAAAATCTGCAAAAAAAAAAAAAACGAAGCAAAAAGGGCGGTTTGATATCTATAATATTGGAGCCACCCAACTACCAACTAATACTTGCACTAATATCCAATTATGTTTTAGGTGGTCTGCTGGACCATAAATGCCTTTGAGATGCTTTACCGTTTCCTAGATCCCAGGAGCGCTCTCTTACTTTTCCAAAATGGCGAGTCTACCTAAGCTCTTACACTTCACAAAGTTTCCCCATATTTTAAAGGTCTTTGTAGTAAATAGGGTCTTTGTGGTCGGGCAGACCATTTACGACATAAAGAGCTTGAATAGCTTTTTGTTGGGTCCATCCAGTACGAGAGATATCAGACTGGCTTGTTTTTTCTTTTCTTTTAAAAAAACTTTGGTTCAATGTCTCCAACATCAGATCACATCTTTTAAAAAAAACTTCTGAGGTATTGGATGGTCCAATATTTCCAACAGCAGATCGGTCCATAAACTTCAAAAACATTAAAAACAATAAGAATCTTGAATAAGAATCTTAATTAAACATCCCAGATAAAACTTGAATAAGAATTTTAATTACTCTGTTGGAAGTCATAAAATTGGCGATGTAATGAGAAAAAGCAATAAGATAGAATAATGTCCAGAGCATCAGTTGACACTTATTCAATCATCAAATTAACTAACATGACAAATTTATAGTATAACAGCCCTATTAGAATATACGACTGGTGAGTTCCTGTTATATCACACAAGAATACAATTTGAACTTTAAAGCACTTGCGAAATGTCTGGATTGGCCTATTATATTCCCGAAAGCCCTGAATTCAAGTCTAAGGCCATGATTATTGCAGCAATGATGTGTTCAAATATCAGCACAAGTTATAAAAAAAGCTTCAGGGTTGATAAGGTTCCTTCAATATCGAGAAAATGTAACAAAAAGCCTTTAATTTCTGTGAACTGTACCGCATCTAGCTACAATGAATGTGGAACTAAACAAATACTTAAAAAATTAGGTTAAACTTCACAATATTAAGAAAATAATTATTAAAACATTTTGACTTTTGTTCCTTCAAATTCTCTCCTTAAATTCAACATCAACTTTGGTTATGCGTTTTGAAGTCCACGGGAATTCAAGTATTCCAATGCCTCTCTGACAACTTCAACTTCTACTGCAGCCAGACTATATATTCTCAAATGAAACATTCTTATATTTTCAAATGAAACATTCTTTTTCAAACTTCGCAATGTAATATTTTAGTCATCTCTTATCTGCCATCAGAGCATCTGGCCTCTTATCTTTTTACAAGTTCTCAATGGAAGGGCATGCTTATACTAAATGCCATCGTGATCATTGATATTGTATGCGATATTCGCAAAATCGACCCAGAACGGTTAACCAGACATGGGCCTAGAAGCGGTTTAACCGGCCTAACAGGTAAACCGGCCGATTCAACCGCTCTAACCGGGCAAGTCCTTGGCAGTTAAAAAAGTGTTGAAAAAAATATAAAAATACAAAAAAAATCTACTAAAATATGAAAAACATATAAAAAATGATTAAAACAAAACACATTCAAATGAAGTTGAAAATTAATGAAAAAAATGGATTTTAAACCATTTTATATTTTCCCATGGCTACTTTTTAAATTTTCTAAAAAAGATGGGAAAAATATAAAAGTGAGTATTAATAACCAAAACGAGTTTTAATCTTTACAATAATGTAAAGAATATTTAAAAATACATTACAAATCAAATTCCTTATTTTTGAGAAATTATATACATTTTTTTTTTAAATACCGGTTGATCACCCTAACTGCCCAAAACCGGAACCGACTAGTAACCGGCCACTAGCCGGTTCCAATCTAACCGGGTGGTTAGCGCTTAGATTGGGCGATTTTGCAAACAAGGCTTGTATGAATCCAAGAAAAACAAGTAATTGGCCACATCCTACATACTATTTTACATGCCATATATGGTAAGATGGGTTTCTTCTTCACCTTGCATGTACCATCACGGGAGCTCGATATTAGCATCGGACTCGATCCACCAGAGGTTGACACCAGATCTGTTATAGAAGTGTCATGATCCGACCATGAATGTATAGAAGTTGAACTTCCAGTTGATTGTGAATCTGCCATATCTAGCAAACTACCAAAGAATTGATAAAAGCAAAGTATCATATTCAAAACAGACTGTAAGTCTTCTACATTCATCAAAATGGATAGCATGGGAACTTCAAGGATCATATTCAAGAATAGAACTAACCAGATCATAGACCACACAAAAACCACTCCATCATCAGAACCAGAAATAAGTAGTGAATCATCACTTGAGAAGGTGAGACAACTCAATGATGCATGATGGGCAGCCCATATTTTCAGCAACCTTCCACTAGAGACCTAACAGAAGAATTCCAATTTATTGTAAAGTGCATACTTTCTAGCATCAAAGCATGTCCCTTTATAGCTAGTAATCAATATGTAGAGAAAACAAACAATAGAATGTGTCTAATAAATGATAACTCCAACTTCTAAATGTTCAAGATATTCAAGGAAAGTGGTCAAGAACTGCAGCACCCAATTTCCTAATATGACTAACATGTGATAAAATATAGTGAACAGTGATAATTTCCTCACATTAAGCAGCATGTGTGACTTAAAGCATACACTTTTCAACATAAATAAACAAATGGAGAATAAGCAGATAATTATGATCTAGTTCAAAATAGTAAGTGTACACCAAATAAAATGTTAATTAGTTATTTCCCAAATGATTTAACTGGCAAAAGGGTAACCTCAAAATAACTGCTTCACAAAACTGAATGAATTTTGAGGAAGTCATTCAATATTATCCTGCTTCAAGCGAAAAAAAGTGTGTAATTTGTGGGACAGACCAACTACATCGAACTCTTGAAGAATAGGTCTACCTGTAACCACGACCATCTATGCCTTATGAGACAGGAGAGCCGTGCTTAGGAATAAGGCTGAAAGCTTTTCAGATGTTAACTGTGGAAGATGGCGTCAAAACAGAAGATCTGTCACTGATTCCACACTTTCATTGGAAACAATGTAGTTGCCTTGAAAAAGAAAACAACATTCATTGCCCATCCCAATTGTTAAATAATCAACCATGTCATGTCTCTCAGTGCATGAGAAACGCTACAAGAGCAACTTGCTAATTAGAATTGGGATCTTAGTTCCATTCTCTATAGCCATGTTCTTCAATTAAAAAGGTACTGGACATATTTTAAGCAAAAACAACGTATATTGAAAATCTTTTTCATCACATTAGTGAAAAAAAGGTATTAATACTGCTCCAAGCCTTCCCTATAAATAACAAATTTCTGATATACTGTCTGAGGAGCTGGGGTAATCTATCTTGATATACAAGCTTTCATTATTTAATCTCCATGCTTAGAATCCTGAAAAGATAACAGTTTTGGAAAGTAGTACCTGTAAAGGCATTTATCAAACAATAGTATCTGTAAAGGCATTTATCATATGTTTGCAGTAATGTAAATTATTCTTGCAAAGGGCATTGTGAGGTCAGTTGCCATAGTTTCAGCATTTATCGTTTGTAAAGATCAATTGTTGTAATTATGTTGATTAACGTTGAAAGCTCTAAGTTGAAAGACCTAATAAGTATGGTAATGAATTTTAAGAAACTGCAGAACCAACTCAACTCAAGTAATTTTCTTTGATAAAGAACTCTTTTACCAAACATTCACTCATTTTTTATGTATTGCTTGGTAAATATTGGGCTGTTATCCTAGTCCCACAAAATGAATTTGCACTCCCCTCTTAATGGTATGCCAAACCTAAATAATAATCAATCACATGGTTAAATACTATTATTATTGATGGATAACAATCAACCATTAAGAAACACAAGTCAGTAAAAAAACATGAAATTTATAATATATTTATGCTGAATTCCTAATAACCACTGCACATTGAGAATAAAGTTCACAAGCAGCAGTAAATTCTTGCAACTGCCATACCTCCCAAAGATAAATATTACCAGAAGGAGCTCCACCAATAAGATAAAATCCATTCTTTGTACAAGAGATTGGCCCAATAGGCTCTATTGGATAACTTCTATGGAGCACTTGTGACTGAGATATGGACAAGACAGTGTCAAAAAGAACTTCACAAAGATCACACAAAAATTATGTAAATGCAAACAACATCTAACATGACATGAGATCTTAAGATGACTTAGAAGAAAATCGGTCAACATCAAAGAGCAATAGAGGGATCGTTCATGCTCATTCCTAGCTTACACTTCAAGGCCATAAAAAAGAAAACCAAACTGACAATCATTTCAATGGTGTGCACCAAGTCCTAGGTGTGATGATTCATGTTATCCAGGTAATTTCGTCATTTTTGCATTTACCTCTTAGTCTAATATGTTATAGACCTTACACTGTGTAGTTCTCGTCTAGACAGTAAGTTATCACAATCTATTCAAGGGGTACTAAGATCCATGCCTTGATATACAAACAAGTGAGTTCAAGATGTCCCACTCTTAATACCTGTGGATGGAATACACATAATACCTGTGAGGGAGGGACAAATATGTGGGATAATTCATACTAGAGATAAATGGTCAGTCACTTGACATGCTATTGGAGTTCAAAAAGTGTTAAATAAACCTGACAACAGGCCATCTAATACTATTTGGTGCCTGTACTGTTTCGAGGTCATTTCTTTTCAATTTTGTCTTTTATTCAATGGTTGGAAACCTGTCTTTATTCAATACTTCCCTTGTTCATTTGGTTTCAACACCACATGCTCCTTATCTTTCATCATCCAAGGAAACTCATTTCTCCATCCTATTTCTTTTTAATTTGAATTTCTTTTCCATAGAACAGAAACAATAATAATCAATAATAATGACCCATGGAATGTACAACATACCTCAAAAGTTTTTGAGCAGTCCCTGAGACAATTGGTATTCTCCATGTCTCCATCTCCCGTAGTCTACTTCTTTATCCATTTTTACCAGCCCATTTCTGCCGGCGTCTTCCACAATATGAGATCCACCATGAGCATTGATTTTCTTTGGAACATTTAATCTGCTCCTCTATCAAGCATCAACCTTATATTATATTTCTAAAGTGCTTCTTCTTCCACGTCTATATTGTTGGATGTTGATTGACTGAACTAAGAATGAATATTTGGTTACGTTTGCTTCATCCATCGATGGCCTCAAAAAAATTATATTCAGGAGCATTTTTCTTGCATAACACCATTTTTGACAAGAATCTGGAAATGAACATCATGTATCTCAATTGAAGCCTTGTAGTGCTCACACCATTTTCAACACAAGAGACTGGTAGGACAAGCACATCTACACCACCCTGCACATACATTAGCTTGTGACATATGGAAATACAGAAATGTTTAATTTTATAAGAAGCCGAAGGGTTTACTAATGTAGAATCAAGGAATGCAGAACTTTCCCTAGAGGCTTTGGTTCCAGTTTCCTGGCAAGGATCCGATAGGGCTTCAGCCAGTATGATGGTATATATACTTGATTGTCCAATGTCATCTAGGATTCCTGGACACTTGTATAAGCATTATGTAACACGATTCATTTCTTGTATAAGCTTCACTTTTTATATTTCCCAAGTTAGATTCCCTACATTAGCCCAATCATACAATGATTTTTTTGGGGACTGTTTCTGCTCCCATGAAGTATGTCATTGTCAAGTTCTAAATGTTCTCTCTCTTTTCTTTGCAGGAAAAGGGCACTTGTTAGTTTGTATTATATGAGACATATTTAAGATGTTAAATAAGAATCTCAAGATTTTGTGGAAATTGGTGAACAATTTGGAATGCTATATGTAAGTCCTATACACATGGCAAGGCGTTATGTATAAAATGAATTCTTTTACATACGTAATATGGACTTCAGAAAGTGTATTGCAAATGGTAAGTGACTTCAGGATTTATTTTACATGTCTTCTCTCCATCAAGAGGTTTCCAACCAACTAGCTACTGGAAAAAACAGCCCCATGTATCACGGCAATTCAATATTGCTTCCAAAATATTTTCATGCCAAAGAACATGCTATTTACCCTATTTTCAAATATGATGCTAGACTCTAGGGGAATTAGGGTCAATTCCTTTCCTCAAGGCAACAAGGTTTATAAGTTAGAGAGCCATTCTCCTTTTACTAAATTGGTAACTGTATAACAGTCAAATACTCAAATATGTGTGGGCATTTGAATCCATTGTACACATGTGACTATTTGAGTTTATTGATTTTAACTATCATCTATACTGTATGCAAGGCGACAATTCTGCTTAAGTAAATCTTTAGTGTCTATTAACAAAAATATTGGCAAAACCAATCCTTATCCCTCAACAGAAAACTGAACAAAATTATAGGTTTAATTCAAAATCATCCTAACAGTTGCCAATGGTTGTTGAAATTTTCCCTGCTACTTCAGACCTATCTATCCCCAGTAATCAGGTTGATGGAATATTTAGCAGAAATCAAATATAGTCCAAATATTTATTCCATTCAAGTAGGCAAAAGAAGCTTTTTCCCAGGGCCAAAAGATTTCTAAGTCAAATATCATATGAATGAGGCATGGCCAAACAAATATCCACTGAATTCAGACATCAAAATTCAAGAAAACTCAAGAAAACTAACTACAATAATCAATAACGCATGAAAAATCTTGAAGATAACAAGTCCTAAGCCAACAAAAAAGAAAAATTCCACACACAAATAATAGTAACATTAACCTGAACGACATTCCAAGTCAATACATGTACATTTATGAGAGAATTCAAGTACCTTTGCAATAAAATCTGCATTCTACATTCAAGAAGATACAAAGACCAAAAAAAATAGAAGGAATTTTTTTTTTTTTAAGCCAGTAGCTTAACTAAAAAAAGAGTTGAATCAAAATGACCAGCAAAATATGAATCCATCAAACTCTGTCCTAAATATGAAAAAAAAAAAAAAAGGAAAGGAAAATGCAAGGAAAGAGGCAAAGAATGGTGCACCTTATTTAAGGCCCATATAAAGATTGCACCACCTGCATAAGAGCGATGGTGCTTCTGGATCTGAGAAGCGACCAAGTACTGCTCCCGCAGGCACACCAGGCCATGGGGAGGGGAAGCACATGTGGGTATTCGCATCAACTCCTCCCCTGTTTCCATCTCCAAGATACTGATCCCTGCGTTCATGTTCTCACCTGTGCAAACAACAACTGCTTCTCTCTCTCTACTTGTCATTACACCAACACCACCCATCATCATCCACTCTCTCTCTACCTGCTTTACCAATAACTGTTTGATATCGAGCAGCACCTCGCGTCCACTCGACTTTGCCTTCGTTTCTTCACAGCAAATGAAGCTGTCTTATTTATTCCCTTTGTGCAGGCAATGTCATGCAATAGAGAGAGAAAGAAGAGAGAGAGAGAGAGGGGAGAGAAAAGGGAAGGGGTTTACTGTTTTAAGGAAGCATGATTTCCTGGTTTAAGACGGATCAGTCTCATGCATACGTTACTGACGACACCTGCCAACTTCAAAATCACCGCGGGGGCAGAGTCCAAGTAACCAGGCCGGAGTAGGGTCGAGCTCGGACCTAACAGTAAAAATATTAAAAATAAAATTTAAAAATCTAAAAATAATATTTAGAATAAGGGATTGTCTACAAAGAAATAAATTTTTTTTTATAATGATATTAAAATTATTTTTATTTAAATTTCAAAATAGGCAGTTTTAAAAGTACGATTGAATAAACATAAAGTTCGAGAAAAAAAAATCTCAACCATTGTACTCACCCCAAGTCGTCCAACTTGACATCTCATGAGTGGGATACATGTCATTTCCTTGTAATAAAGATAAACGGTCTCTTTATAGACAATCTCTTATTTTAAATATATTTTTCTTGTTTTTATATTTTAACATTTTATTTTTAATTTTTTAATATTTTTACTGCTACAGTACTTGTCAAATTGGATGACTTGAGATACATCACAAAATTTGATATTTTTTTTTTAGAACTTTGTATCTATTCAATCACACTCTTACAACTACCCGTTTTGAAATTTAGAGGACAATAATAATTGTGACCTCCTTATACAAAAATAGATCTTATATTGAACAAAACACATCTAAATGTAGTTCAAAAAATAATGAAAAAATGAATTTTCAAAAATCAATTTGTGACCAAAAGTATTTTAAAATTTTCTAAAAGAGGAGAAAAAAATAGAAAGAAGAACTCATGATCAAAATACTTTCCAATCTTTGTTAAAATTATATAAAACATAAAAAATATATATTACAATTTTTTTCTTTTGAGATTTTTTATAAATTTTTTAAATTTTTTAATATCCCCAAATTGGACTCCCAACTTGGGCGCTGCCACTGCCCGAGCCCGAATAACTCAGCTGAGTCCAAATGACTCGGCGATTTTCTAATCATTGCCCATGCCGATAGGTAATTATTTATGGTTTGGCTGTTTTATATTTTAGCAAGCACATATTGTACACTTGCACTCTCTCGCTACGGACCACACTTTGGAATCTAGGGACACCAAAATATCACAGAATGATTATTTTTTGAAAAGAAAGTTAGATCTTAAGTTCTAAAATGACTAGATCTTATCGTTCAAATATTGGACACCCCTATTCCATCTTCGAATGTTCTTTTCAACGGTGGACAATTCACATTTTCATTTTCTAATTTATTGTTTAGTTTTTTGTGGTTCATACCTAGGTTGAAGAAAAAACAATGTACAATGAAACCACTTATTTTTAGTAGAAGGAAGTTACAATTATTTATAACTATCCGATATGAAATCTGATTGCTTATGTATGTCACACTTTTGAACTTTGAACTAGTCAATAGAATAAATGCAACCACCCAATTTTACATCCAATGATCAAGATGAATTGTAACCAAAAATAAAAAGTCCCGTTGTATAACTTTCCTTAAAAAATTGCCTCCCAAATAGGCTTTACTCAAGGAGGCAAAGCATAGAATCCTTTGACTTACTATAGATGTGTCATACAACCTTGGTGAAGAGGGCATTGTGAGATAACAATAGGGAAAAAGTTCGGCGAGTTCAGATTCGTATGCACCCCCTTTCAAAATTCTTAGTGATGGATATTGGACCTAGAATTTTACACAAGGATAACATTCACAACCACCATCTTGAATCTGAAAAATGAGACCTTAACCTTAAAAATGGATTGGTTTTGATGAATTAAAATGAATGACATAAAAACCTTTAAAAACAAATTTTAAAGTGTTTGTCTTTAATATTTAATTTTTTTTTCGATATTCATGATAGAATTTAGAGAAAGACCGCACTTGATCTGGATGTGTTAGCTGAAGCACCAAATGATCCTAATAATAGTAGTTGTCTCACAATCCTTGCAAGGTTAAGGCTAACTAGGGTTCTCGTAGAGATGAATGTTCATCTTCTTCAGACTAGGGAATTAGGTATGAAATGGTTATCTAGGGAATTAGGTATGAAATGGCAATCTTATTACATAAGAAAGCATTTATAATGGAAATGGCTCTCTGAAAAGTAGTAAGCCTTCGTGATGAACGCTCATGCACTACCTTGGACTAAGGTTACTGATAAGGAAAGGTATCTCCAATCACGAAGCTAAAAGATAATAATGAAAGGTATCTCCGATCACAAAGCTAAAAGGTAGTAATGTTAATACTTTTGTTTGGCAATCCTTGCAAGATTGTCACTCGAAGAGCACTCGAGTATCACACACTTCTAATGCTTTTCTTTAGATTTTTAAGCAGATTATTCACAACCCCAGCCCATTTTAGAAACAATATTTTTTAATGCGTTAGTGAAAATGGAGGTTGTGACTTTCAACTGGGGCATGGTGGTGCTACCACCAGGACCTAGCCTTATTCTCAAACACACCTCTACTAGAGTAACCTAAGGTAACGAAAGAGGGAATAGCTAGCTAGTCAAGGGGACAAGTGCCCCAATTGACGTGTAAAGTTCCATTCAAAAGTGTAGCAATGGTTTGATAGGACTGCAACCCTATCAAAATAAATAAAGCCTCACCTCATAACTCATCAAAAATTGTAATTCAAGTTTTGAAAAACCTTCAAATCGATCATCTTAGCTTGAACATTATGGTTGTGAAAAAAAAAAAAGGATTCAAGTTCAAAAAATAGTATATATTAAAAAAAAAATCATCTAGACCATCCATTTTACCCTTAAAATAAGTGTTGAAAGAGCCATAAGATCCATATCATTTTTCTAGTTTCGTTGTCAATGTTGGAAATTGATTTTAAAGCCATCATGAAGATTCTCAATGCCCAAATTGCTTTTCAGATGAGGATTTGAGGTGAGTCTTTATTTTATTTTCATAAAGCCTAGCCCCGATAGAAACTTCATCCAACTTTAAAAGTTCTCATATAAAGCGTAAGAGAACTTATCAAGAAAAGTTTGAAGTCAAAACTACGAAATACTTTTTATATTTAAACTTAAAGAATAATCAAAGTTTAATAATTATTTTGAACCACCGCATAACTTAATGTGGAACTACTTTATAGTATTAGACATGTGTACTCAGTGTGCCGAGCTACATGTCTCAACATTTTAGATTTGTAGGCATATATTATCTAGAAGGTGATTAAACCTCAAGGCACACAGGCTAGCATATTGCTTAGGTCCAAGTTGCCACTCCAACAAAGTAAGATTCTGAGTTTTGTACAAGTGTTATCTAAACATAAAGGCCCTAACTGCTACACAAGTGTCATCAAGTTACCGTGGTCGAGGAAAAGCGCCCGAGCTTAGTTGGTTAGTGCTTGACGATTTGCAACGTTACGTCTAAGCTCAATTCCTACCAAGGGTAGAGACCCTCTCCCTATTGACTCACCCAAAAAAAAAAAAGTCACGAAGATCTAGTGCATCTGAAATACAACATAGGCATCATCGGTTCACAAAGACTTGGAGTACCACACAAGTATAATCAGGTCCAAAGGCATGGAGTGTCACACAGGAGTCATTAGGTCACAACTTTTCGAAGTGTCACACGAGCACCATCATGTCATACAGGCCTGAGTTTCATGTAAGTGTTCTGAGGTTACAAAGGCCAGAATTGCCAAACGAATGTCATTGGTCTAAGATCTGTACCCACTACATTAATAATTGTCAATCCTATTTGGATATATGGAAACTCAATTTGAGTTTCATCAACACAATTCCGTAGTGAATGATATTTCCTCATAATGTGCTTGGTTCTACTGCGATGCTCAGGGTGTTTAGTGATTTCTGTAATGAATAGATGTAAAGGAAAAAGTTTATATAAGGTTGCAACAAATTACAGATGCACCTAAAAAATACATTGGAAAAGGTTGCTTCAATGTTGATCATCTCGACAACGAGATGTATGAATATGAAAAAACAAAAAATTTGGGTCATAGAAATAGTGCATCTTGCAACACATTATCAAGACCGTCCTTTTTCAAGATTTTCATATGTTTATAGACCTACTTGATTTTAACCATTTTTGGAGTTTAACATTTTAAAAATTAGATATGACAATAGATTTTGAGATAATCTTTAGAATTTTTTGAACCAAAATTATATGTTATGATAAAATTTGTAGGTGCACCTTAATTGGATTGTTTAAAGTTGCAACCTTATAAAAACCGCACCCAAATATAAAACCTAGTAACTAACTCTAGAGTTGCCAACCTAGTTAGTCTTGCGTAACTAACTCAACCGTTACCTTAAATATATTGCTCCAATAGAAGCCTTATAAATGGACTCTATATTGAAGCCTCTTTTGCTGACCCCTCTCGTATTACATCGCTATAACCCTCCTTTTGGGTGTATTTTGGATCAATTTGATCTACAACATTCCAAAACGTGGGCAGCCCTGTATGTTTACCCATGATTTTAGAATATTTTGTGCCCCCTCGTGTGCATTGCCTACATGTTTGATTTTAAATGCATATATAAAAATCAAATTGATGAAAATCAAATGCATATTCATCAATTTGATTTTATATATGCATTTGATTTTATCCCTATATGTTGGCCTTAATAATTGTATACATTTTCTCTTCAGTACATAAAATATGTTTCCTTTGCGTTGGGTG